GTTCAGCAGTCTTTGATTGTGTGTATAACCTAATATGCTTTTAGAATCCCTATGGTAGGGAAATACTTCCAAAATTTAAAGAATTAACAAAAACTTTATTACAAATTTTGAAACCTAAACTACATTAGAATATGATGCCTTTTAATGATTCCACCAAATGTAATGGTAACCAGACAAACTAAAATAAAGAATAAGAAAAGTTGCCCTGATTTCAGGAATCAGTTTTACAATGAGTTACAGAATGGTCAGAGCAGCGGTTCTCAACCTGTGGGTCGCGACGCCTTTGGCGGTCGAAGGACCCTTTCACAGGGGTCGCCTAAGACCATCCTGCATATCAGATATTTACATTACGATTCATAACAGTAGCAACATTACAGTTATGAAGTAGCAACGAAAATAAATTTATGGTTGGGTCACAACATGAGGAACTGTATTTAAAGGGCCAGAAGGTTGAGAACCACTGGGTTAGAGTATTGTCCCAATATGCCAAGGTTGCGGGTTCTTTCCCTGGTCAGGCACAAACAAGAATTAACCAACTAATGAATGCATAAATAAGTGGAGCAACAAGTCGATGTTTTCTTTCTCTCACACTCTTAAAAAAATAAAAATGTATTTCCATGAAGATCAAATGACTGCCAAATACAGAGTCAATGGGTATGAAAACAGCAGAAAACTAAATAATTATGTGGTAGGCAGTTAGATAGATATGAGCAGAGCAAGGACGATGAGCCAGGTATAAGTCACCAGGGGCGGTAAGCCCTGGGTGTTTAACTATGTGCAAAACTGGAAAAACAAGAACCTCACTGCCCCAGGGTAACCTTTCTTCCTCTAGCATATCACTATGGTTTGGACCCCTGACCTTTCATATCGTTGGTCATGCGGCTTGCATGGTCTCCTGACCTTTCCTCTCCTGGCATGTCCATAGTCATGCAGACCCTTCAGGAGGAGGAAAAAGAAGACAAAGAGTGGCCTCTAATACAGGCCCTTACGCATTAACCCGCAGGGATAACATCCAGGCCTCAGCTGTTTTAGCTCCAGGCTCAGAAAAGCTGCAAAACCTGACAAGCAATGCCAGGGCTAGCATCAGGACCAGCTGCATTGATGAATGACCCCCTACCCTGGCACCTACCAATCAGTGAAGACCACGACTCTAAAAGGACACACCTGACCTCCTCCAAGATCCCTGCCTCTGGAGAGGGACCTCCTTCCCTCTTTCTATAGAACACACCCCCCTTTCTCCGCACCCGCTTCCCCAGGCACATTTTCCTTTCCAAGGCCCTTCTTTTGCCTCTTCAACTTGTTTCCTGAGCCCATTTCTTCTACAGCTGACTTCTACTTGTGACTTTGTAAATAAACTTTCTTAGCCAGAACTCAAGTACTGAGGTTGCTGAACCAAGGTCCAGTCTGATTCTACTGTTCTAACACCTAGTTCCCTTTTGCAAAAATTATGGTCTAAATCGTTTGCTTTTGATTAAACTAGATAAGCAGCAGTAATCATAATGCCACCTCCTAAAAGCTGCTTGCCACAACTCTAAATTAAATATGGTAATATTTTACAGATATTTTAAGGATAACTTAAAAGTTTCAAATTCAAGAACATTTTCTTGGATGTTGTAAGAAGCTACAAAGACCAGGCAGGGATTCAGTTTTTCCATCAGTGAACGTTTCCTCAGAGAATTCAACCACTGTAGCCTTTGTTTTTAAACTCCAAACAACCTTCAATTTGCTAAAATTCAATGTCCTGTGTTTAAACTATATGAAAAGATATTTCAAATCTTGAAACCAGTAAATATAAAACAATGTTTTGCAGTTTGAATTTCAGTTGGGTTAAACTTTCCAGTAGAACTAGAGCAAAGCAGAAGAAACAGTTGAGATAATAAGCAAAAATACTGATCCTATTTAGAGCCACTTGAGAAAAATGTGCTCCTTAAAATGTGAAAGGATTTCTTATTGAAACTGCTGCCTCAACTGAAAAACAATATGCAAGGAACTCTACTACATTTTTGCCCAAACATCAGACCAGACCATATACCACCAAGGAGGAAAATCTACCTACATCCTAAATTCTTTCTTCATTCCATTTGGACATTAAGCAGGTTGCAAAAACAGATACTAATCTTAAAAATGTAATACTTTTAGGTAAGACATTTGGTCACATCGACAGAGTTTTACAATAATGTGTGCTGGAGATCATACCTTCCTCATGTTTGGGTTTTGTTTTCTTTTTCTAAAACAGTGTACTTGATCCTTAGCACCACTCCCCCACCTTTCAAAGAAAAAAAAGGAAAGAAAATTATAGTCAACATATTACTTTCTCCTTGATATCTCATTTTGAGCATGGAAGAATTAATGTGATTAGTACAATTAAGGAAAGCTGAGATCAATATAAATATAGAAAATCATGAAGGAGGATTAAATCAAATTAACATAGGACACCGATTTTGTTTTTGTTTTAAATCCCTATGAGTTAATTACATGCTACTCTAAGGTTAAATAGTTACTTGAGTCTTGAGAGGTAAAACTTATTTCAAAACAAATTAAAGGAAGAAAGTAAATACCCATTCCACACATACACTAAAACCAGTTGCTCCTGGGTTTGAGTGAAGATGTACTTTATCTGATTGCTTTGCTTTCAAAATAATTTTAATTCCACTGGAAGTACTTGCTTAAGTGAACGTTCAAATGTTAGAATTCCTGACATAAGGAATTACTGACCCTGCCTAGAAATCCCCACAATTAAACAATTTCAATATAAAACCAAATAAATCAAATCCTAAATTTTGTGAATCCAGTTTTCACGAAAACATAAATGAAATGCAGTATCTTCATCATTGTCATCTTGTTCAAATTGAAGTCCATTTAGATCTGCTTCATGAAAATAAATTTTTTCTACATCTTCAACCGCCACCAAACTTTGTTTCTAAAATTTCAACTCAGAAAGCTGTATCTCCCACCTAAATTTAAAAAACACTTCTGTTTTTAAAGAACTTGCTTTAAAAATTCAACACTGGCCGAAGCCGGTTTGGCTCAGTGGATAGAGTGTTGGCCTGCGGATTCAAAGGTCCCAGGTTCGATTCCGGTCGGGGGCATGTGCCTTGGTTGTGGGCACGTCCCCAGTGGGAGATGTGCAGGAGGCAGCTGATCGATGTTTCTCTCTCATCGACGTTTCTAACTATCTCTCTCCCTTCCTCTCTGTGAAAAAATCAAACGACTATATTAAAAGAAAAAAATTCAACACTGGACCGTCCTAATTCCTTCTACATCTACTTCCTTGATGGGCCACACATTTAATACTAATGAAGATACTGATGTTCTTTGAGGCATTCTACCCATAGGTCCCTCTGTTGTTTTTGGAAGATGATGATTTTCAAGAAAGCAAACTAGTTTTAGACATTTTAATAAGTATTCTAAGTTGAAATATTTCATCACTAAAACTTGGAAGTAAAAAATAAGCTCCTCCTAAGATAGCCTCATACTTGAACACACAGTTCAAAAGTTACCTATTGCAATAACCTTCCTTGCTCTTGGGGGTTTCACTCCCCCCACACACACCAATTCTCATAATGTAATTACTTGGAATGTCTCTCTTGACTCGCAAACTTCTAAAGGGTGGGACTGTGTTTTGAATTACTTCTGCTAACAACATCTCCGTCCTGACACACTGGACATGTTTGATAAAATGTATGTTGAATTTCTCTGGCTACCTGACACACTCCCTTTATCAGTCTTCCACAGTCAATCTCGGAGACTTCGTGTAGGTCCAGTTCTAAGCCGGCCGCTCTCGCTCTGTTAGCTTTCTTACCGCACCGAGCACACCTCTTCACTGAGATGAATGAAATCGGCTTGTGTCTCAAAGGGTAGCATCACCTTATGACTCACCCCGCTGGGTTGGAGTCGGGCAAATGAATCAATACCTGAACGGATTGTCGTACACGCTCTTGAAAATTCCCAGCTCCCCAAAGTAGGCCGGAACCTGCCCCCTTCCCTTCCACTCCTCACTCGGCGATGCTCCCACGCTCTCACACCCACCTTGAAGAACTCAAGCTGTCAAATTACTTGCTGCGTAACCTACTGGTGATGCAGACACATCCAGTTTGCTAGCGCTTTAAGTCGCGGCCCCCAATGTTAAACCTACGGGGGGGAGGGAAAATCCTTCGGGGTGGGATCCCCGGCCCGAGACAAGTCTAACCTATTAGCCTGGTCCCAGCCTCACGGCTCCCCGCATCATCACTCCTTTTCTCTTCATCCTGTAGTTGTGGTCCTGCGACAGTCCCGTGGTGGTCCCGACAGTTGGGTTAGTTCAAGGACTCGGGGCGGGCAAGGGCACGCAGTGGGCAAAGCCGCGAGGGCTGAGGCGAACACCAGTGGGTCTGTCTCAGGCCCCCGAGGACGCGGACCGGGCCCGGCGCAGCACGAAGCCCTGAGGCGTGAGCGCAGGGGGCGCCCGGCCTCTGCCCGCTCCTCGGGCTTGCGGCCCGGGGGCGCTGTGGGAGTTGGGGAGATTGGGGAACCCAGGGTATCTGTCGTGGATCGGTCAGGGACCCGGACGCCGGGCGGCCAGGTCGCCCCTCAGCGGAGGTCTCTGGAGAGGTGCCGCCGAGGAGAAAAGAAAGCAATTCGGGCGCTCTGGCCGGAGAGGAGAGACGAGGAGGGGCTGCCCTGCGCCACCGGTCCCTCACCTTCATGGCCGCGAACGCCGCGTCTCGGTCGGCCCTCGCCGCAAACTCAACACCATCACAGCTCCTCGCAGAGACGGGCTCCTTCCTTCTGGACCGCGATTACGGCGCCTCCAGAGGCGACCAAGCGTCCCGACGTAAGGGGCGTGGTCACGCCCGCCGCGCGCCCCCGGGAAAGAGCGCCGAGCGGCGGCCAAGTTGACCAATCCAAAGCCGACACTCGGGGGGCCGGTCACCAGAGCCAATCAAGTAGTGGAAGTGGGGCGGGGTCTCGGCGCAGCTGGGTGGGCGGAGGAAGACTCCATCCGGGCTGGAGCGGCTCAGGGCGGATCTGGGCGTGGCGGGAGGCTTTCTCCCGGCGGTTTTCGGTCCCTGAGGAACCTGTGCGGCTGAGACAGAGCTCTAGGTCAAGCTCCCCAGGGCGGGAAGAGGCGTGGTGCGTTTGAAAACGCCAGTAGGTTTGCAGGCTTTTGTTTTAACCGTCAGAGCAGGGCCCTCAGATTTCCTCTCGACACTTCCGAGCCCCTCAGACTCGGTAATGACCTCGAGTCTCCTCACCAGAGGGTCCGGGCGGCTGCGGCAGCTGAGCACGCAGAGACGCGGTTTTGAAACGGCGTTGTTCGAAACATTTCAATAACGGTTCTCAAATCCCAGCTGCTCTTTTTAGAGCGATGTTCAAAACAACCAAATTCTAGCACAATGAGAGAATTCAGGTGAGCCCTTGGAGTGGAGGGTTGGGGTTTTTTGTTTGTTTGTTTGTTTTTTAACAGAACGAGTAAATTCAAGTATTCAGCTTGACGGGATGACACTCAGGTGGTTTCACTACATTCATCCCTCTCCCCTCCAACTCAACCAGTATTTTAGTTAAATAAGAAAGAGACATGAAGATGCCGAGTCACTTGTCTTAAGGACCTAAGAGTGTTGCATTCCTTTGTCCTAGGCTTGCCTATTTATATGTACTGTGCCAGGTTAAAACACGGAGCCACGCCACTTCCTTAGGCTGAAATGATTCTTAATTTTTAGCTTATTTTTCTTGCTTCAAGCATTGACTTATCCAGTATAGTCCTGGGTTTTCCTCTTTGCAAAAACTCGAAGAAAGCCTTTCCTCACCGTGTCGGAGTAGTCGCTGAGCTTCACTGGAAGAGAGTATCACTTCTTCTAATGGTCTAGGCACAAAGAAACTCAGTAAAAACTTGCTAATGGTACGAAGCCATAGTTCTCATTGGAAAGGAAGCTGGCAGGTCTACCCCAAGAGTTAATCAGTACATGAAAAGAAGCTCGACATCATTAGCCATCGGGGAAATGCAAATCAAAACCACAATGAGATACCACTCCATACCAATTAGGATGGCAAAATAATAATAATAATAATAATAATGTGTTATTGTGGATGTGGAGAAACTGGAACCTTAATACATTGCTGATGGGACTGTAACATGGGACAGCTCTTTGAAAAACAGTCTGGCAGCTCCTCAAAATGCTAAACATGGAATAATCATATGACCCAGCAATTCCATTCGTAGGTATAAACTCAAGAGAAATGAAAACTAATATACACACACAAAAAAAATCCTTGTACGTGAATGTTTATTGCAGTACAATTACTGGTACAGTAGCCCCAAAGTGGAAACAACCCTAGTGTCCATTATTTAATGAATGGATAAATAAAATGTGGTCTAGTCATACAATGGAATATTATTTAGCCAAAATAAGAATGAAGTACTGGCCCTGGCCCAGCAGTTAGGTTGGTTAGAGTGTTGTTTCCCATATGCCAAGGTTGCGAGTTGGATCTCCGGTCAGGGCACTTACAAGAAGCAGCTGTTGCCGTAGACCAGCGGTTCTCAGCCTGTGGGTCGCGCGACCCCTTTGGCGGTCGAACAACCCTTTCACAGGGGTCGCCTAAGACCATCCTGCATATCAGATATTTACAGTGCAATTCATAACAGTAGCAACATGACAGTGATGAAGTAGCAACGAAAATAATTTTATGGTTAGGTCACAACATGAGGAACTGTATTTAAAGGGCCAGAAAGTTGAGAACTACTGCCGTAGACAGTCAGAGGGAGTACCCAGAGTCTCTCCCATTGGCCAAGAAGGCAGCAGGTGGAGGTGCTCCATAGAGTCAAAGTGGGCCCTCCATCCAGAGGATATTAATCTGGAGGTCTCAGGAGAGGATCCCAGTAGAACATTCTTCAGCTTTCTAGGTGTGTCCTTTCAGGGTCGTGACCTCTACTCGGTTGGCGCCAGGGTATGGGGGTCATGACTCAAATTAGCTGGTCCTAATGTAAGCCATGACGTTGCTTGTCTGGTTTTGCAGCTTTTCTGGGCCTGGAGTTGAAACACAACTGATGTGGATGCGGGTCAGAACCTCACTGTCCGAGGAACTTAATGTTTAAGGGCTTTCTTCGGCCTCTTCGTTCATCTTCTAAGGGAATCTAACCCTCATGACTAGAAACATGCCACCATGGGGGAAAGGTCAGGGGAGGGTCCGAACCGTATGACCAGTGATATGCTAGGGGAGGGCAGGTTACCCTGGGGGCAAGGTCCTTGTTTTCCTAGTTTTGCTTGTTGCTAGACACGCCCTGGTGACCTTCTGTACCTGGCCCCATCATCCTTGTTCTGCTCATGCCTATCTAACTGCTTACCACAATTCCATATACTGTATGTGAAATGTCCAGAATAGGCAAATCCATAGAGACAGAAAGTAGGGTAGCAGTTGCCTAGGGTTGAGGGGTTGCAAGGGGGAGGGATAGAGTGACTATTAATGGGCACAGGGTTTCTTTGGGGAGGTGATGAAAATGTTTTAAAATTGATTGTGGTGATGATTGCACAACTCTAAGTATGCAAAAAATATTTAATTGTATAATTTAAATGAGTGAATTGTATATGTATGATATGTGAATCATATGTGGGGTTTTTTGTTTGTTTTTTAAATATATTTTATTGATTTTTTACAGAGAGAATGGGAGAGGGATAGAGAGTCAGAAACGTTGATCAGCTGCTTCCTGCACACTCCCCACTGGGTATGTGCCTGCAACCAAGGTACATGCCCTTGGCCGGAATTGAACCTGGGATCCTTTAGTCTGTAGGCTGACATTCTATCCAAACCAGCTAGGGCTGAATTATATCTTAATAAAGCTGTGATAATAATGATAATAAAAAATATTGAGAAACAAAAAAAAATAGTTAATGAAGCTGAAGGGTATCCAGAGTAAAACAATTAAAAAAACAACAACAAAAACAACCAAGAGTAGATAGAGATTTAAGTATTGGAGACCATTTTATTTTATTTTATTACTAGAGGCCTGATGCACAAAATTCGTGCGCAGGGGAGGCAGGGTGTCCCTCAGCCTGGCCTGTACCCTCTCCAGTTTGGGACATCCTTCTCGCAATCTGGGATTGCTGGCTCCTAACTGCTTGCCTGCCTCCCTGCTTAATCACCCCTAACTGCACCCCTGCCAGCCTGATAGCCCTTAACCACCTTTGCCTGTCAGCCTGATCGCCCCCTAAATGCCCTCCCCTGCTGGCCTATTGCTCCTAACTGCTCTCCTCTGCTGTCTGATTACCCCTAACCGCCTCTGCCTTTGCCCCACCACCGTGGCTTTCTCCAGAAGATGTCTGGTCTAATTAGCATATTACTCTTTTATTAGTATAGATTATTATTTCTTATTATTAATCATTACCCGAGTATATTTTTTTCCTTGATTTTTAGAGAACATGGAAGGGAGGGAGGAAGAGACTTTTTATAATAACACTCTTTTTCAGGTGTGTACTAGTTGTACCAATTGTGGTTCAGGCAAATAGTTTGTTTTTTAACAGTCATAGCAGTTCAGTACTTTGTATTTCAGAGTCAAAAAGTATTATCAAGACAGGTGGGATAAGTTATTGCAGTTCAACTACTTGCTTAGGATGTATTGGGGCTGTTCTCTGAGTTTGTTTTTTTAATCCCTCACAAAATTTTTTTATTGAATTCACAATGTGCTTAAGTCAAATAATTTCAAGATCCCAAATTCAAGAAGCAGCAATTTTTTAAAAAAATTTTATTTATGGATTTAGAGAGAGAGAAGAGAAGCATCAGTCATTGGTTGATTCTTTTTTTTAATATTTTTACTGATTTTTTTACAGAGAGGAAGGGAGCGGGATAGAGAGTTAGAAACATCAATCAGCTGCCTCCTGCACACCCCCAACTGGGGATGTGCCCGCAACCAAGGTACATGCCCTTGACCGGGAATCGAACCCGGGACCCTTCAGTCCGCAGGCCGGCGCTCTATCCACTGAACCACACTGGTCAGGCCATTGGTTGATTCTTCTATGTGCCCTGACCAGGGATTGAACCCCAAACCTTGGCATGTCAAGGTGATGCTGTAACTGAACCACCCGGCCAGGGCTAAAAAAATTTTTAAGTTACTAAATAATCTGTTTATTTCAACATCATGTGTATTAATAAAACAAGAGGGTAGAAAGCTAGCTATTTTTATTTTAGCAATGGACTTAATGATAAATCATAGGAGATCTTACCAGCTTTTTAAAGTTGGTTAGCAACTTGCTATAATAAGCCATTATTTTGGAAAATTTCAAGCATACATATATGAAGCAAATAGAATGGTGTAATGAAGTCCCATGTATCCATCACCCAGTTTTAACAATTCTCCACATTCTATCATTCTTGTCTCAAATCCAACACTCACATCTCTCTACCCACTTCCCACCCACCCCCATCTGAGTTAAGTTGCATTATTAAATTAGTGCATGACTGGTTGCCTAGCTATGATCCAAATGAAAGTATCTGATAATTGGATCTGGTTTGCTATGTTGTGTTTATCCTTGGTCACCTTCACAAATTTAACTATTTACCCAAAGTAATCCATTTTCTTTGTGGCCATTGCTTCAATTGCATGACTTAAGAGTAAAGGGATTCTATAACTATCCTCACTTAAACTGAGTTTGTAAATGCCAAAGTTGTAGATGGGTCATAAAATCTACCCACTGGTGCCTTGGCCGGTGTGGTTTAATTGGTTGAGCATCATCGCGTGCACAGAAAGGTCTCCAGTTCAATTCTCAGGTCAGGGCATATACCCAGGTTTTGGGTGTCTCCCCTCCCTTCTCTCCCCTCTCCTCTCTCCCTTCCCTCCCCTCTCCTCCCTCCCCAG